TGTGTCCTTGTTGAATTTTTTTTTGGGGTTAATCTTGGCAATATTTGCCCGACAGTGAAGCACCAGCGGCGACAACATCCCACCATCCCCCCTCCACCACCACCCCCATCCCGGGACTCACCAAATTCCAGCACCGCATGGATCCAGCCGTGTCCTGCTCTGTGTATAGACTGGAAGATATTTATATTATATATATTTTTGTTCAATGGTTGTTAATAGTAGAATTTTAAGTTATAGCGTTTCTGATTTGACAAGCCAAGTACTGTAAATATTCTCGTATATCCACACTGTATAATGTATACAAAAGGTACAGAAAAAGGTTATAGTTTCTATAGCAACTAAGAGGAAAAAAGAAAAAAAAAGCTTGTACATGGTTAGGATGACTTTTTTTTTTTGTATAGTTCTGCACTGTAGTTGTACCTATTGCACTGAATTTCAGGCTGTAGTATATTAAACAAAAAAAACTGAACAAAAACAAAACCACACTGAGAAATACTGTCCTTTTCAAACAAAACTGAAAACACACACAGAAAAAGAAAAAGAGCATTTCCCTGAGTGCAGCTGGTGTGGGAGAGCTCCTGGCACATTCCCAAAGCCACAGAGAAGGTTTTTTTGGTGTTTTGTTTGTTTTTCTTTTTTTTTTTCCAATAGTATCTTTTTTTTTTTTTAATTTATTTGCCTGGTTTGGAAGTGATGACACTTGACCACATCTGGAGAAAAATAAAGGTTGGGGTTTGGGGGGCGTGGGGGGAGAAATAAAAGTCTATAAAACCCCACCCCTTGCTCAGCTGGTCCCGACAAGGAGCCCTCCATGTAGGAGTGTGGGTTTTTTTTAAACAAATCCCTACAGTGAAGTGCCAAGAGGAAGGTGTGTGGTGTGAACAATAAAGGAGAACGTTTGCAGCGACCCAGCCAGCTGTGTCCTGGGCCTTTATTTCGTGTCCTGGGCCTTTATTTCATGTCCTGGGCCTTTATTTCGTGTTCTGTGCCCTTATTTCATGTACTGTGCCTTTTTTTTCACGTCCTGTGCCTTCTATATCATGTTCTGTGCCTTTATTTTGTGTCCTATGCCTTTATTTCATGCCCTGTGCCCCTGTTTCATGTCCTTTACCTTTATTTCATGTCCTGTGCCAATATTTTGTGTCCTATGCCTTTATTTCATGTCCTGTGCCTTGATTTTGTGTCCCGTACCTTTATTTTGTGTCCCGTGCCACCACTGGGCATCCTGTGCCTTGATTTCACATCCTGTGCCTTTATTTTGTGTCCTATGCTTTTATTTCATATCCTGTGCCCTGATTTCATGCCCTGTGCCTTTATTTCATGTTCTGTGCCTTTATATTGTGTTCTGTGTCCCTATTTCACGTCCTTTACCTTTATTTTGTGTCCTGTGCCTTTATTTCATGTCCAGTGCCATTATTTTGTGTGTTGTGCCTTTATTTCATGTCCAGTGCCATTATTTGGTGTGTTGTGCCTTTATTTCATGTCCAGTGCCATTATTTGGTGTGTTGTGCCTTTATTTCGTGTTCTGTGCTTTTATTTCGTGTCCTTGCCCCTTTTTTTCCGTGTCCTGTGCCTTTATTTCAGCAGAGCTGGGCTTTCCCCTGCCCTGCCCGGGGATGGCTGGGGGGGGGAGGTTTGGGCAGTGCGTGTCCCTGCAAATCTTTTCCACGCCGGGAACGACTCACCTGGTTGCAAAATATCTGCTCTGGGTGTAGGACCAGGTTTTGGTTGCCTGGGGCAGCCCGGGCTGGGATCAGGGCAGGAGCTGGACGGGGCTTTCGTGCTCTGGAGCCCCCAAAGCTGCTCCGAGCCAGGACCGAGCCCTTGGTCGTTCCACAAGCACCAGGGAGGGAAGGAAGGAAGGAGGGAGGGAGGGAGGGGAGATGTTTCTGCTGCTCCAGGGATTTGGTTTTGCCCCCTGGAGCTGAGAAGGTGCCAAGAGCTGCAAGCCCGAACACTTTCAGGCAAAAAACCCTCTGATCTTGGTCACTTCAGGCTTTTCTTTCCTTCTTGGAGCAGCTCTTTGCCCCGGAGGGCAGCGCTGGGCTCGGCTGGGGGAGGAAATCGCTCTCGTAATGTCTTTTAAAGCTGCCCAGAATGTTTTTGATGTGCCCGGGGCTCCCCTCCTCGCCTGTGCTGTTCCATTCCCGGCTCCAGGAGCTGCTCAGCCCCGCACAACCTTCGTTTTCCTCCCGGTTTTGTGTTGTTGAACCCCCGGAGCTCAGCCTGGCCGTGGAGCACCGGGGGGATTACGGCCACAACCGAGCTCCAAATCCCCGGTGACCCAAATCCTCGGTGCCCTGGGGCATTGTGCCAGCAGGCACAGCTCCCCCCGGCTCCCCCACCCCACAGGGAGGGTTGTTCCAGTCCCTTCCAGCATCCCCCACCCCACAGAGGTGGTCATTCCAGCCCCTTTGCTGTCCTCCACCCCATGGAGGTGACTGTTCCAGTCAATCCAGCATCCCCCACCCCACAGAGGTGGTTGTTCCAGCCCCCCCAGTGTCCCTCATCCCATGGAGGTGGTTTTTCTAACCCTCCTGGTGTCCTCCAGCCCATGGAGGTGGCTGTTCCAGCCCCTCCAGCATCCCCCACCCCACAGGGGTGGTCATTCCAGCCCTTTCCAGCATCTCCCATCCCACAGTGGGGTGGCTGTTCCTGCCCCTTCCAGCATCTTCCATCCCATGGAGGTGGTTTTTCTGGCTCCCCTGGTGTTCTCCACCCCATGGAAGTGGCCATTCCAGCCCCTCCAACACCCCCCACGTGATGGAGGTGGCCATTCCAGCCCTTTCCAGCATCTCCCACCTCACAGAAGTGGCTGTTCCAGCCCCTTCCAACATCCCCCACCCCACAGAGGTGGCTGTTCCAACCCCCCTGGTGTCCCCTACCCCACACAGGTGGTTGTTCCAGCCCTTTCCAGCATCTCCTACCCCACAGGAATGGTTGTCCCAGCCCCCTCGACACCCCCACCCCACAGAGGTGGCCATTCCAGCCTTTTCCAACATCCCCCTCCCCATAGAGGTGGCAATTCCAGCCCCTTCCAGCATCTCCCACCCTCCAGAAGTGCTCGTGAGGTGGGAACACCCACCAGCACCTCCCGTAGGAGCTCTGGGGTGTCTCCCACCCCTTCCCCAGTCCCCCTGACCAGTGTTCTCCCACCCCACGGACTGGGACAGAGCTGAACCCGCAGCTCTCCCTCCCCAGCAGCTCCAAGCCCTCTAATTGCTCAGGCCCCAGCTTGACAGAGCGTTTACAAAGCACACTTGACTCCAGCCCAGCAATTAAACACCCTCATAAATCCTGCCCAGGAAAATGAGCCTTAATCGGGGCTTAGGGCTCAGCCAGGTTCCCTTCACCCCTTTCCCAGCCCCAGGGATCACATGCTCTGGCTGCTCTGGAGCCTTCCCGGGGCTCCACCGGCCCTTCCACAGCAGGGTCACCCTGAGGGGCCTCTCTGGGGGTTTTTGGAACAGTGACATCAGGGGCTTCCTCCCCCTGAGGTTGGTGGCAGAGTCAAGGGGGTCCCAGCTCTCCACCTCTCCTTTGGGGTGGAATCTCCACTTGGAGCCTTTTCATCCTTTCCCTCAGGGCTGCTCAGAGTCCCTCAGGCCCCTGGTGGTCCCTCCTGGATGGAAGTTCTTCCATAAGGAGAACAAACTAGAAGGGGAACAAACCTGTCCCTCAGTGCCCAGAGTTATGAGAGTCCTCAAAGCTCTGCAGAAAGAGGAAAATCTGAGCAGCCTGGTCCAGTGGAAGGTGTCCAGGGTGGAACTGGATGAGCTTTAATGTCCCTTCCACCCCAAACCAGCCTGGCATTCAAGTAAAACTGGTTTGGAGATGGAAGGGGCTCTGCAGAGACCTGCAACACCCCGTCAACCAGGTTCCCTGGGAGCAGGTGCCCACCCTGTGTCCCTCCCCTATCCCTCCATGGCATCCCCCTCACCAAACTGGAAGGCAAAGCCAGGAAACCAGTAACAAACACACCTGAGCTGCTCTTGGCTCCTGGCCAGCCCAGGTGAGGCCGTGAGAGGCTGTTTGCTCATTCACAGCCCGGCCGACAATGATTTATTCATGGCGTGCTGGGGGGGCCTTTGTTTGTCACCCTGACAGCTCCCAGAGGTGGAGCAGCACATGAAGGTTAACTCAGACCCAGGTGTTTACTTTCCAAAGAGTTTGGGACAGCCAAGGAACAACAGCTGGGAAGAGGCAGCAGCGGGAAGGAGGGAGGGCTCTTGACGCTCGTGGTGTCCGGGAACCTGGGAAGAGATAACCTGGCCAAACACCTGGATCTGGCAGAGCCAGTTCTTATTTTGTGTGGGAAAAGTTGGCATTAATCAGCTCCAACAGGTGACCAATGGTTTCTAGAGACTCTTGCTGGGGCAGCTCTCTGGCCAGGTCGAAGGCTTTCATCCCCACCTCCCGGGCCTGGAATGGGACAGAAGGAACACACAGGGATTGTCAGGAATCTGCCTTTTCTCACGGGGAAATACCTGCCCAGGTTCAGTGGAGGAGCAGCCTGGAGCAGATCCAGGCTCCCTTTTCGAGGTGACCTGTACAAGCTGCTTTACAGGAGAGCCTAAAGCTGCCAGATCTCATATTTAGGATCCAGTGGTACAGACAGAAGAGATTATTGACCCCAGCCCCCCATCCCAGACATCACCTCCCATCTAATGCAGCTCATCTGAACATTCCCAAAGCTCTTTCAGGGAAAAAAAAAAATCAGCTGTATTGACTCAGTCTGAACTAAATCCCTCATTTTCCTCAGCAAGGAACTAAATCATTTCCCTTGGTAGCTCTTCTAGGGATTAGACATTCCCACAATTATAAAGCCTTGTCTTCTTTCTAATTTGAATTTGTTTCCTGGTGTCTTCCAAACACTCCCATGGCTGTGGCTTTCTCTGAGACAATGAAGAGAACATTAATATTTCAACACAGTGTTTTGCACCATCTGTATTTTCATGTCCCAAAACACAGGCAGGAGAAACTCAAGGTTTTTGAGCTGAGTCTGAATAGAGAGGCCTGATTTCCAGATGGTTTCTGCTCAGCACTTCCTCAAAATCAGTTCTTGGTAAGGCACAGCCTGGAACCTTTGGAACTTTCAGCCAGAAAAATACAGGGGTGCGAATTCTAAACTGATTTACAGGCTGCAGTAGAGCCAACCTTGAACTCAGAGGAGCCTGGAGTGGGAGGCCCATGTCCTGCTCGCTGTGTGACACCTCACCTGATGCCTAAA